CGCCTGGACCACAAGTTTGATTTAATGTATGCCAAGCGGGCCTTTGTGCACTGGTATGTTGGGGAAGGGATGGAAGAAGGGGAGTTCTCTGAGGCTCGGGAAGATATGGCCGCCCTAGAGAAGGATTATGAGGAGGTGGGCATTGATTCATTTGAAGATGAAGAGGAGGGAGAAGAATAGCTATAAATGCTCTTATTTTGTCTGGGCCTTCCTTTTCATTAAAGTATGTGTGATTTTAATCTAAACTACAGTGATGTGTTTGTCCCAGCCAGAATTCACATGGAGCATTTCTACCTAATGCAATTTTTGCTCAGAACTGCCAAGTAGTTCTGGCTGCCTTACTTGACAAAGGAAAAATTTACATGTGTAAACTAAACAGCATATCATAAAAAATACCATGTCTACTGATAATTTTGGCAAAGTAATAAAATTTGAGGTTACAACATGCACTTTGCACGTTGCCATGAAACGATTGTATCTGCACCCATTCATTATCACTTCCCCTCCTCTCACAAAAGCAAATACATTTTGATACAAAACTTTAAATCAAAGAATGGACGTTTTAATTTTAAATAAGAATGGAATTAGCGGAAGAAACAATCAGCTTATTTCTGAACAATAGATTATTCACCTGTTTTCCAGCTTGGGAAACTCCATACTTCTACATGTATTTTGGGAATAAAAGTTGCTTTTTAAAATTACGTGTTTCATGAGATGCAAATGTCAGAATAGGATGTCAGACTACAGTATTGCAAAAACCTTCCAACAAACTACTGAGTAGCATTTTAAATCAAGACATTCCATTAGAAGCAACCGGCCCAAACCTTCCATAGATAGTCATTGCATCTGACAGAAATCCAGTTTTTGTTTATTGAAATCCACAAAAGAAGACCTGAAAATCTTACTGGGACAGTATTCAAGCTGAGATCTTGTTAGTTTTAACAATGCTGTAGTAACTGCCCTCAGTAGTTCTGCCGAGCCAGGAAGGTTCACCATCACAGATATATCAAAAATTCAGTAAATGCCTAACTTGACTCTCCTAGTGTGTCTCGCAAACGAGAGAAAATTCTCTATTCGCTGCTCCCACCCCCAATATCATTCTAGGCCATCCTGAACAGTAGCATTTGGCAATGCCAAGGCTGGGCCTGGCCTTAACTTCAGTTATAGCATCACTGCTGCCACTTTAAAAAAAAAGGCCACCTTGTTCCCCAAGGTGCAATTGCCCTGTGGCCCAGTGCTCCACAGGATCTGCTGTCCACTACTTAACTTTTAGGTGGTGGTCTGTTTCTGTAGACAGGCCTCTGTGGCCTACCCAAGGCTGTTTCAGGTTGTACAAGGCTTTTGTTCTTAAAGCAACTTTGGAGAACGTTCTTCCATAGCCTCTGCAGCTCCCAAGAACTGCACAAAGAAATGCCCCATTCTGCTATGATTTTCAGAGGTTTCAGAGACCGTGCATGGCCCTTTTGTGACTTCCAGAGGATCTGAAGTTCATACAAGAGCACACCTCATTCTTGTGCAGCCTCTGAATATTGCAAGAAAGCATGCCCATTCTTGCAAGTTTTTGGGTGGAGATGGGAATGTATCCCATTCTCACACAGCCTCTACAGCAGTGGTTCTCAACCTTTTTAATGCTGCGACCCCCCAACCGGTCATAGGTCGAGGACTACCCAACCAGTCGTAAGTCGAGGACTTTCCCTGCCCGGGAGCGCCACGCATGTGTGGTGCCGCCCCCTGCATTGGCCGAGTCATAGCGAGCAAGCGGCAGAGACGGAGCAGGGCGACCACCGGCTGGGCCACCAGCTGGCCCAGCCCAAGGGAGGTAAGGCACCCGCCGGGCCCCACGCGTGCCAGCAACCCTCCCTGCGCCCGCCGGCCTCCCACCTCCCACCCCTGGCCCTCTTTTACTTACATTTTTAGTAGTTGCTCAGCGGGGGGGTGGGGGGGAAACTTCCAGACAGCTCGCCTTCGCTGCAGACAACTTGCAGCACCGTTTGCAGAATGGGACTTTTGGTGGGCTCAGCAGGGCAGAGACAGCCTGGACAATTCTTATTGGCTTTCGAAAGCCAATAGAATAAGAGGGAGTAGCACAGCTAAGGAAAAGGGGGGAGGGAATGGCAGACTGCCTTTGGCGACCCCCGTGAAATGGTCGTTCGACCCCAAATGGGGTCGCAACCTACAGGTTGAGAACCACTGCTCTACAGGTTCTGAAAACTGCAAGAACAACATACTTTTGGAAGTAGTTTTTGGATGTGGGTAAACATTGGCATGTCAGCCAAAATGTGTCATGTCAACTTCAGCCACAGTAGCTTTGCCATCCCCAAGTTGTATTATTTTGCATATTCTTGTCTGCTACATTTGGCTCTCACCAATCTCTTGGTCAGTTTCCATTTTGATTAAGCAGCTACGTATACTGTAGTACACTTATCCTTTGTCCAAAGACTTGTGCTGCATCCTCCCAAAAAGTTAAATTCTTATTGCCTTCCTGCATTTTCCTTGGATATGTTATCCCCCTCTTGAGTAAATTCTAATACCTTAATGAGTAGTCTGGTACAAAGACTGAACATGACCTCTCCCAACACCGAATGTCATAATGATGGACTAAAATTCCAACATTCCTGCTAGCACATTGACTGTTCTGATGTTGGGATCTATTGTTTTAGAAGAAACATACTCTAAGTTGGACAGGGACATTTGCATGTTTCACAACTGTCGGGGAAAGATTAAAAGGAGTTACAGTAGTCATAGTATACTGAGCCCCACCACCACCACCAAAAAAAAAACAAAAAACCCCTACCATGCTTGATTTGGCAAGAGTGTGTACTATAAATTATATACCATCCTTTTATACAGATGTGTACCAGTATTTGTTCTCTCCCCTCCATTTCTATTCTAACCATGGATCATATCACAGAAATTTAAGCTAGAAGCACCATCACCCTTAAAAAGCGATGGGTGTTGTAAGGATATACGTTTTATTCCTGGAATTGGTATTAATATCACTGACTTATTTTCTTTAGAGTTAAACTCATTCTGCTATGCCACAAAGCTTTAAAAAACAACTAATACAAGTTGCACATGTACTACATGTTTGTAGGGATATGTATGAAAGAGAAAGCTTTCTTTTGAGTTTTTGGACAAAAGAGCCAAGTTGGCTACATTCCAATGAAATAAATTCAGAATGGTGTGACATCCTGTACCACAGTTTTTAAGAATTGCACTCTTGTCACTGGGAATAATGAGAACACACGTTCTTTCCTCCTTTACTTTTCACTTTACAGCCAGAAAAAAACAGCTGCTCTTTGCTGATGACTATCGGTGATCCAATTTAGAAAAAAATGATTTTGAAAAAGGAAGTTATGTTTTAATTCTCATAATAGAATTGGACAATAGAAACAGTCCAGGTCTCCTTTTCTTTTTTAGCCTGCTTACACAAAGTGCTGCAGAGTTAACAGCATGATTCACTTCAATAACCAACCCAGTTTGACATTTCTGTCTTCATAATGTACATGTGCAAACTTTTGCATCTGACCATCAGCCAGGAGTACATAATCAACTAAAACCAATGGTCTTGGTATTTAGCATGCAACTTGAAAGCTCAGTAAGGGCAGACAATGTGAGGGATCAACTAAAAGAAAAAAGCCATACACTGCAATACTTCCATTTTATAACACAGGACCAACAACGTCTGCAAGTGTTATTGGCAACACTTGGATAATATAGTGTGGACACAACATATTTAAATATGTTCAAAGTCCTCTTGTCTGCAAAAGGATGCCACAACCTAATAGTAAACAACCCAGTCTAGGAGCTCTAGCTTCTCCATACCAAAGAATGAAAAAGTCAATTATGTTTCTGTCTAGAACAGGGGTCTTCAAACTTGGCCCTTTTATGACTTGTGGACTTCAACTCCCACAATTCCTCAGCCAGCGTGCCTCACGCTGGCTGAATAGTTCTGGGAGTTGAAGTCCACAGGTTGTAAAAGGGCCACGTTTGAAGACCCCTGGTCTAGATATGCAACATCAGTCCATCAGGTGGAGAACTAATCATACAGAGTTGCCTCTGAATGTAGATAGGGCCTGACTCAGCAAAACTAATTGAAGTGCTGCAGCAGCAACATCTATTTTTGAACATGTGTTTAAATAATTGCTGCTGATTCCTCTCATCCCATTCTCTATCAATAGACAGTGCATGTTACTCTGTATGTTCCCTTGCTATGCTATGCTGAGGCCTTAAGCCAATTTTAATGTATAAAACAAGCCAATCATAGAACTTGAGTCTCCTAGGAAATCGTTAACAATGGTTCTATCAGAATGGTATACAGAATAAGATATATACTGCTCAAAAAAATAAAGGGAACACAAACGTATAGGATCCTATACATTTGTGTTCCCTTTATTTTTGTGAGCAGTATATATTCTATATATACTTTCCTGTAACACAACTGAATGCCAGGACTTGGATAAATCCTAAAGATAATGCATTGTTTATAATCCATAAGTTCATCCACTGGTAAAGGGTTTGAACCCCATAGAAAACGATCTGGTACATTAATTTGATGAGTCCCAATATGGATGGAATTGATTATACACCTCCTCCTAGTGATGTATTTACAATAACTGTAACATGCTTGAAACTGCTCCATTTTGTTTTAGCTCAAAACAAAACCTAATGAGACAAAACGCTCAGAATATGCGTATTGTGTTCCAAATTCAAAACACTTAGAACAGGCATTTCAAGCTTGGAGCTTCTGCACATATCTATTCCTGTGGAAATAATTAACTTTTCAGAGGCTTAAATAAAATTTCCTATCCTACATGACTTATTCCTGAAAACAATTAGCAGTATAAATAATACAAAACAGATTTCTGGATGTATATGTTATGCAGTTCTTTGAAGCCTGGAAGAAAAATCTACTAGAATAGCCAAGCAAATGTGATCAAATACATATGAGGGGAAAATATATGATTGAGCAGTATATATATGATAAATAAATAACACTATTGCTGGATCACATTTTTATCATCCTTGTGGTTTAAAAATGTCTAAGATAGGTGGCTGCATTTTATTTAACACATAGGCCCCGAGGGCATGCCTTTATCAAAACAATTTCGGCATCGATCCACGCTTACACATTCAGGTACATATTAGGAGAATTTTTTTTTTTTCACAAAGAAAGGGGATTTTGCTCCCTTGGGGTTGTCATGCTTTGTGGAAGCAGTTGGTAATGAAACGGAGCAGTCAAAGCCTGGCAAGATACAGAAAAGAGTAGGGGAGTGAGTCCCAAAGACCAGCATTGTCCTTAATGCAGTCCCATTGTAAGACAGTTCCTGTAAATATGAGACTGGCCTTCAGCATGGCATCTTGTCATAATGTTTGGTCTGAACTTCATCTCTTGAGGTCCCACCTGGGCTGAAATGCCACCAGCTGCTTCTGTTTTTAGCTGCACCTTCTGTGGTCTCAGATGCGTGTGGCCTCCTGTCCAGTGAGAGGTGGCTGTATCGCTTCAAGCTGACAGATTATGTTAGCAATGAACGGGCGCTCCTGGGGATTCACTATCATTGTAGAAGAGAGGAGGTCTTCCAAGGCTGGGGAGTATCTGAAATTTAGAACCAATTCAGATCAATCTGTCCTTGGGTTAAGAGCAACCACAACCCCCTCCCCACCTTCTTACCTGGTATTCTGGGGCACCTTAAGGTGGTTTTGAACAGCTAAGGCCACACTGTCCCCCTTTTGGAAGATCATGTCATAAGGTCCTTCACCAAACATCATGCAGTAGAGAACGCAGCCTAAGGACTAAGCAGAGGTAGGTGAGCCTAGGGAGCAAAAAGCTGATCATGGAATAATGAAATAGGATTTTCCTCCCCCTGTACAAGATATAATCGAGTATATTACAGCAATATTAAATATTACTTATTTTTTCCTTAGGAGAAGCGATGATCCTTACCCAGATGTCAGTACGTTCATCAATAACACATTCACGTTCAACATTGAACAGTTCTGGGGCCCGATATGAGATGGTGCAGCGTTGGGCAGCCCAGTCCTGTGGGATCAACAAGGGAGGGAAGATAAAACTAAGTCTGGGAAGAATGTGGAGAAATATCTCAACTCTTATCTCATGCAGATTTCTCTGGTTGCTATTGGGGAATAGTAACAGGAAAAAATACTTTAAATTAAGGGCATTAACATTAAATGTACTGTAATACATACATAGCTGTATGTATTAGTAGTGAGTGGGAGACAAGTAGGAAATTTCAGGGTTGTAGACTACACTAGGAATTTGGGAAAAAAACATTCCAGCAGAAGGCATTGGTAAACTATTCCCATGCTCTTGACAAAGAAAACTAGGTGGATGTGTACCTACAGTCACTAGAAACTAAATTCAAGTGAGATTTTAATAGGAAATAGGAAAATCCAAGAGAGATCTAGCAAAGTCACTATTAAGAAAAGAAAGGTACCTCACCTTCTTGATCTGCCTGCCTTTTTTAAAAATACTCTAGAGCAGGGGTAGGCAACCTTGGCTCTTTTATGACTCATGGACTTCAACTCCCAGAATTTTTGAGTCAGTATGGCTCAGCTTGGAAACCTCTCTTTCCCCTCAGCATGGCTGGCTCAGGAATTCTGGGAGTTGAAGTCCATGAGTCATAAAAGAGGTTGCCTACCCCTGCTCTAGAGGCTAAAGTTATGATTTGCAAATCTGATTTTATATATATATATATATATATATATATATATATATATATATATATATATATATATATATATATATATATATATATATATATATATATATATCTCCTCCTGAATAGATGTTGTTACAGTGGTTCTTTCTATTGTTTCTGCTTGCTTGCTGTTGAAAGTATGACCATACAGCAATGTTTGCCTATAACGAAATATTGATCTGGATGGAGACGAAAAACTGCAGTAATCATCTCTTGCTCTTAAAGCAAGGCTGGAAGTTATTTATCTTTTTTTGCAGGGGGGAAGTTTTGAACGAAATGGGGATAGATACTATTTTATTACTGATGTCTATTTTGTCCCAAGGTCTTGGGACAAACATCATGCCTAAGTCTGAGGTAGAAAACAAGTTGGCCAGCAGCCCTGGGTAGGGAAGGAAAAGATTCTTCCTGGAAACCCAAATAAGTTGATCTAATCAGTATCAATAATCCTAAGTTAGACAGAACAACAGTTCTGATTCAGGCTCTACTAGGGTCCGACCTCTACCTTCACTTTCGGGGGCAACCTCAGTAATGATCATGATCCTCAAAATAGCAGGCACAACCAGACAAGTGGAGACTTGCTCCTTCTTCTGGGTATGCAAAATGCACGACACACATTTGAGGCTGGATTTGGCTCATCTGCTCAATGACAGCAACAGTCATTGCGAATGCCACTGCTGACTTTCCCAAATCTTTTGCAGGTAAATGTGGACTTTGCCATCAAGCTACCCAGCCGTGTCTTTTAAGGGGAGATGATGCTGTGACACAAAAAGACTGCGTGCCATCATTCTGCATGCACAGATGATGTTACTACTTGCTAGTATCCTTCCTCAGCCGTTAAATAAAGGGTGCTGGGATATCAATGAAAGCCCCTAACTTTTATAGTCAGAATCGCTTTATTTCATTAGATAATTTTCCTTCATCTTTGGAGCTACTCCATTTCCCTTCCACCAGGTGAACCTTATACCTGAATAGTCATGGCCTCCCGTGAGGTCCGCACCTCAATGTGAGCCCGATTCATAGAGCCTAGGTCCATTAGCAGGGGCTGATCTTCATTGTCTAGCAGCACATTTGTTGGTTTTAGATCTCTGCAAAAGGGCAAGCAGAATATAGATGGAGGATAAGATCTGCATTTGGTGACAATCAAAGGCATGAGTCCTCAAATCCTGCTTTAAAGGGAGTCTGAAGATTGTTATTCCAACCCAGGGCTTTCCTCTACTGAACATACTGATGTTCGGTGCCTTTTATTTGTACACTGCCCAGAGTCCCTCTGTGAGGGAGATGTGCAGTTTCTAAATGTGATAAATAAATAAAATTGTCCTGCAATGTAAGAGTAGCCAGGGATTCTCAGACAGCGGTATTGTAAAAGGACTCCATCCAAGCAAGCTTTGCTATTGCCCGGAAACCCACCAAGTCAGATCACAGCAAGCTCTGTGAGGCAACTGCACATCTACAAGGCACCTTCAACACCCTGGCCTTGCTAGGCAGCATCCACAGAAAACGACTTTGAGGGCACAGGTCCTCTGCTCTAGAACAATGGTCCCCTAAGGATGTTCTTTGTCTTTGCAAATTCCTTTTTGCCAACAACTCTATAGCAAAGACTGAGTCTCTCGTGACCTTAGCTCTGCTTTCCACTTGTGGTTCACTGCTACTCTGTTCCCGTGCCCTGCTTTCTAAGGCGGACTTCTTACCTGTGCGCATATCCCTTGTTATGAATGGCCTGCAGTCCTCGGCAGATTCCGTGAAAAATAACCAGGATCCGCTCCTCGGGCATGAAGGAGCCTTTATCTCTCAGAGCTTCCACTTCCTGCCAGAGGGTCCCTCTCTGGAAAAGAAATCTAGGCATGTTGGTAGCTGAAATTGGTACGCATGCCCTCCAAACTTACTGAGTGAAGAAAAAGACTTATCTCTAAATATTAAAGACTGTGGCCCAGTCTTGGCCCAAGGGTGATTTACCATTCTTTGCCATTTGAATCTCACAACAGCAGAGGCTTAATCAATATTGGTTTGGTTGCCTCTGGTCCAATCCGAAACCAGCAAAGTATATCTAAAGCAGGACTGGCTACACATGGTTTCGTAACTACAGTGAATGCCATGCTATTCTAGGAGTTGGTTAATGTATTTGCTGCTTGACCATAAGCCCTAAAATTATTGCCCTGAAGTTGTCCTGGAATTCTTGGATGGCTGTGGTTGTAGAGATGCCGCTACAGAGGGAAAATGTGGCAGAAGCAGCATTGCTGAGCAAAATTACAATCACAGCATCCCGACTTGGCTTGAGGAAGGAAAGGGAACAGATACCAGAGGACCTTAGTTAGCTTCAAAAGTACTGCACGTAGAACACTCTTTTTCAAGGCTTACCACCTTTAAGATGTGTGGACTTCAACTGCCAGAATTCCCCAACCAGCATGCTTTTCTGGGAGTTGGAATGCACACATCTTAAAGGTTCCAAGTTTGAAAAGCATTGATGAAGACAGCCAACTGCTGATGATAACTGGAATCTCTTCTGCACAACACTGTACTACATTCCCCTTGAGGGGCCAAGTAGGGCACTGGATGTTCAGCTGATGGCTGTAGCCAAGAGAGCTTTTATACTGTTTGGGATCGAGTACCAGTTACAGCTTTCAGGGAAAAAGCAGATCCAGCTTCTATTACATATGTCTTGGTTGCACCCAATTAAATTAATGCATCACTGCATTTGAAGGATATCTCAAACTTCAGCTCCTGCAAAATGTCTGAAACTTGTTTTTCAGAAAAGTACAATAATTTAACTTTTGTTTCCAATCATGATTCCAATGCTGCTTATCATCTATGGACACTTTGGGATTAGTTTGAAAAGATTCCCGTTCTCCCACAATTCCTTGTATTTTTTACCTTACTCAATGTCCCAACATCACTGGAGCTGTGTGATGAGAAATCAACTCTCTAGGAAGACTAAAATTACCTTTAGTGAATCAACTGCAGTAATAGAATCTTGCAAGTCTGATTTTGTGTACCTCCTCCCCCTTCTTTTATTCCAGTGACTTAGGGAGGGGTCTGCCTGAGCTGTTTCTAAATATTACCTCATTTTTCTGGACTTAAAAAATGTTCCGGCTACTTTGGCCTAAATAACAGTTCTTGCATTGAACAGCCATGGTCTTCATCCTTACGCTCCACAAGCTGGCAGGGGCAGAACCTTTGGAGATGGAATACCAGTTGGCCATCAAGATATACTGGCTCCCTTGTGTTGACTTGTTGGCACCCTCTTGAGAATTTTTTTCTCTATGTGTAATTTTGCCCAGTTTTGGAAGTGGCGTAATTTTTGTCCTTGTTTTGCAAGTCATTGTTGTATCCGTGTTGGAAGCACCAAGGTGCTTCTGCGTTGAAAGGATTAGCTGGTGACATCCCTGTTGCCCAGGGAAGACCAGTTGGGGTTTCCTTTCATGTCCCCATTAATGAGCCCACCAAAGTGGTACCTATTTATCTATTCGCATTTCAAACTGTTAGGGTGGCAGGATCTGGAGCGAATGACAGAAGCCCACCCTGTCACACAGCAGCGCGCAGTCTTGAACGCGGACTTGCAGACTGTCAGCCCAGGATTGACAATCTGCAGGATTCTAATCTAAACCACGCTCCCTGTTCTGCAAGTTATACTTCAGGAGATTTGTTGTTTTAAATAGTTTCATTTAAAAAGAAAACACTTTAACCCTTGTGATCATAAGCCACACACACACACACACAAACACACACACACACACGTCAAAAATGGAAAATAAATGTGTCGGCATAAGAAAATATATGCAGAGCCATTGGAGCAATTGTACAACAGTCTTCTTGATGTAAGAACATGGATCTTAATTATACTAGCTGACAGCTAACTATGCCTTAGAAATGGCCTTGACGTGAATTGAAAGTAGGGTTAGCACAATGCGGGAAGAGTCCATCTTCTCCCTGCCACGCCTAATTTATCAAGAGAACACATTTCTTGGCATGTACCTACTGAACCTGTCTGCACCTTACCCCTTACTTAGGAAATTGGTCTGGAGGCTACTGACCTTGAGGAAAGGCAAGAGGAGCCAGGCCTCATGTTTGGATCCTTTCTCTACCATGGCATGTGCACAGAGGGGCAAGATGTTGGGGTGCTCAAAAAGCAGGTGCATCTCCACCTCGTGCAGAGCTCCCTGATGATCATCCTTGTCATGGCAAATGATACGTTTCAAAGCATAGAAGCGCCCATCATGCAGCCCTTCGACAAGGTCCACATAGCTGAAGCCACTGCAGGGAGTAAAACAGAATGAGCCACAAGGCAGGACAAAGACATATGTATTCTGATGTAAACAGAATCTAAACCTTCTCTCCTCTTTTCTATCATGTTTTTCCTTACTTTAAAAGCTCATTCTTATTCTTACATTGTGAACCTGTTCTGCTGTCACATGTATCCTACACCTTTGCAGCGCTGCGAGGGCCATGTTTTCCACACAGGGTTGCTGATTCATTGATGCCACTATAGTAGTTGCTATATATATAAAACTTCTGTGCCGACACATATTAATGAGGTTATAGAGAAAAGCTAGATATCTACATGCCACAACTGGAAGAACAAGAAGAGAGGACTCCTGTTCATGTTGTATACCCTTGTTTGTTTATAGTTTCATGAAGCTGTTGTTGCTTTTTTCAAAAATACTTTGTATGGCACTGTACAATCCTTGGCTTGATAAAGGGGAAAATGTTTAGCTATGTCATATGGCATTAAGCAGCATTCTGGTTCTCCCTAGCTCTTTATCACAGTACTGATAAACTGTCCAAAAAGGCACAGCAACTGAATATACTTAGCAATCACAAAAGAGTTCATGTACACCCCAAAATATATCTAATTAATTGAAAATAAGTGGGGAAGATCACCCAGATCTGTAGGAATCTGATATTTTCTATCATTAAAAAATATTTTCTACTTAGTTTATAAAGATATTTTTAACATTAGAAACAGTAAATATTGTCAATCCGATGGTCTGCTCAATTGCTGTGTTCTCTTATATATATAAAGAGTATCATGAAAAGGAGGATGAACGTCTCTTACTGTTACTGAGGGAAAAGACATAAGGTGCAGCAAATATATGATTATGTATCAGAAGTAATATTCTAACTGGTAAGCAATGAAGTCAGATGCCCAGAGGAATTGTAGTATCACTTACCTTAGAGCAGGGGTGTCAAACTCAATTTCATTGAGGGCCGCATCAGCATTGCGGTTGCCCTCGGGGGGGCAGGGGGGCAGCCTACTCGGTGGGCTTGGATGGAGTAGGTGTGCCTACTAGGTGGGCGTGGCCAGCTCTACATCATTCATGTCAAGGGTGCCGGTGGGGGCCTGGGCAGGAGTGGGACAGATCTGAGGGTCTCTGGCAGAAAGGGGTGGGACCAGGGCAGAGCCCATCAAGCCAGGTATGTGAAGTAAGTGAGGGCCATTTGCTGGCCAGTTCCAGGCGATGGTGCATTTCTTCATTCCTCACAATGAGTGACACTTCCCCAGCATGTACTCAGGGGGTGGGGCTGATGCAGCAGGGGCTGGTTCCTCGCTGTTTCTAGATGGCCTTGTGGAGCTAAGACTGAATGCGTTTCAGCACAGATGGCCACCACAAAATTGTACATTGGCTCCCGGCCGGCCTGGGCCAGGGCCAAGGCAGTGGAGGCCATTCCCTCACTGTTTCCAGGATGGCTTCGCGGGCCACATGAAACCACTTTGCGGGTCGCATCCGACCCCCGGGCCTTATGTTTGACATGTCTGCCTTAGAGCAACTGGAAACCCAATTATATGTATGATAATCTGGAAGGAATTGCACCAAGTGAAGAAAAAAAATACATCTATCTTTAAATGAAGCTTGAACAACAATTTTGGAGGAATATTTTGGAGAAGATGGAAAGTGGATAGAAAACCAAAGCCCCTCCATGTTGCTGGACTACAACTCACAGCACCCGAATTCAGATCAAAATAATCTGGAACAACAACTTTCTCATATCTGAAATAGATGAACCTTAGAAAATTGCAATAATTCTACCCCTGGCAAATAAGGGCAGTGTGTGTATACAGATATATTTATTTATTTATTTATTTATGAGACTTATATACCGCTTTAAGTACAAGCACTCTCTAAGCGGTGTACACCAGTAAGCAATGTATATATATATATATATTACATTGCCCCCAACAATCTGGGTCCTCATTTTACCTACCCCGGAAGGATGGAAGGCTGAGTCAACCTTGAGTCGGTGAGATTTGAACCGCTGACCTGCTGAACACAGTCAGCTAAAGTGGCCTGCAGTACTGCACTCTAACTGCTGCGCCACTTCGGCTCTTGTTTGTTTAAAGAAGTATGCTTTTAAAGAAGTATGTTTCCTACTTCTTTAAAAGCATGAATCTATACAGTCAAAACACCTTCCTATACGTGGAGAACTACATGGAGAATTAATAGTGAGGCTCAGAGAGAGCAGTGGTGGGGGAGGGACTGATTAGAAGCACATTAGATAATGCTAAAGTTTTGCGCTTTGCTTTTGGGACTTTTTTACTAAGTTGATTATTACAGTTAAAAGAAAACAAACTATGGCAAAAGAGAGGCTAGTGACTAAAGAATCATCTGTGAAATTTCAAAATGAATCACTGCAAAGCTTCTTACACGATCCCTCTGGAAGGAGTCCAATACTCACCCCTCCCCAAGCCTGTGGATTAAAAGATAGCGTTTGTTATTGATGCTGATGGTCCCCCTGGAACAGATACACAGGGCATGGCCCATGGTGGTCGCTCCAACATCCTTCAGACTCTATAGAGGATAAGAAAGCAAAGCTCCAGACCTTGGTATAGCCATTGTGAAGGCTTAAGGCTGAGAAAAAAGGGGCAGCCTCATGTCAAGATATTAATAAATGGATACATATGCAAGTAGTCCTTGTTTAGCATTCACAATTGGGAGTGGCAACTTGGTCATTAAGCAAAGTAGTTCCTAAAACCATGGGTGTGCTTATGATCTTACTTCAGTTTTGCTTTATAGATCTTTGAAATACATGCAAAGTCACTTTTTCATCACCTGTTGGAACTGTGAACAGTCACTGTGCAAAGCAGTTGCTAAACATGGACTACCTGTGGTATTTTAACTGATGTCCTTTCATGTAAGGCAAGGGTGTCAAACTGCTGGCCCACGGGCCGGATGCGTTCATGCTGAAACCGCGCCCACCCCATTGCCGGCAATGGGGAAAAAGTTGCGATACGTCGCAACACGTCACGTAACGTTGCGAGTTTGACACCCCTGATGTAAGGTATAGCATTGAAAGGGAATATAAGAGAATAATCCAAGTGTTCCCCACTAATAGAATTGTCAATTCATCAGTTTCTTTTCTCCCAATATCATAGAAAACATGGTCATTAGTACTGGGGAAGAAATGAGACAGCTCAAATTGCAGGCTGTAATCTAAGAGCAAGCTATCTTTCTGTGGGTAGGAGCCAGACTAAAAACAAAACAAAACCAGGAACATTTTCTCCAGCTTCGGAAAGCTTCTGGTAACATCACAGAATGACAAGGGCCAGAATTTTCAACCCTTGTTTTTTACTTTTTTGGTGGGGAGAGAGAAGTGAAGTTTATAAAAGTAAAAGGAGGTTTAGCACATTTATTTTGGGGCATATTGGAAAGAAGAAAAATTGCACTACAATGATTTGCCACTAAGTTTTGATAGTGTAATCTTAAGTAGGCTTTGAGAATTGCCAAAAAAAAAAAAAAAAAGGCAACAAAAGCAGGCGAAGCACATACAGACTTGCAGGCTTCCCAGCCCAGCTGAAGATAAATGCTCCATTTTCTGTCCTGTATTAATAAAATAAGTTTCATTGTTAACTCCAAAATGGCACACAGTTGCATGTCAACAGTCTGGCAGCCAAGAAACATATATTCAGTGAATATTCTAAAAAAGGGGGGGGGGAAACAACGAAGATTATATGAAAAACTGGGGAATAGGGTCTGACTCCAGTCACCCAAAATTTAATAGCAGTCTATTTTTGGAAAAATAAAAACAAAGTGCCACTATTCATCTCAACAAGTAATGGAGCAATTCAGAATCAGTTTTCTTCCACCTGTTCCCAGTTGAATCATATGATGAAATGTAATTGATATCTTCCCAATACAAAGGCACTTAATTATGATACTAACTGAACTGATAGCATGGAAAGATGGAGGAAAAGTATCTCTTTTTAACTGCCTATCAAAAGTATGACTAATTTAAAGCTACATAATAAAACTCTTTATTTTATATATTTCCCCTTGCTTATCATGTAAAGTACCGTCTCCCAAAGTGTTACTCATAATCCAAAATGAAAGGATAGGCCTTCCCTTTGGATTGCATTCTAAAAAGGCAAGGCACATAAGGAAAATTAAAAGTAAAAAAGGGTAAAGGTTAGTTGTTCAGAGCTGGAGAGTAAAGCGTCGAGCAGCAATCACATCCAGTTGTTCAGAAATGACTGATGGCATCAAAAAGCCATCGGGGGAAATAGTAAATGCAGAGTTCTGCCACGGGAATAGTGCATTCTGCACATGACCAGATGCACAGTCGCTGTTACTGTTATGTCACTTGTTCTAGAGTGGATAAGTGAATTAAATTCCGAGGCAGAGTTATGGCTCAAACTCTCAAACGGCACGGAAATCCTACCCTGGAAATCCCTGCGCGCTTTCTGGACCCGCCACTCTCGAATACAGAACAGCCGCACAGTTGACCAACCTAATCCTCCCGCCCCGCCCATCGGCAGAGGCAAACGGGGGGAGGGGAGGAGGAAAAGAGAGGGGAGGGGGCGACATACTCACCCAGTCTCGATCTAGAGTTCAAAGACGACCTGAAGAGCTTCAGCGCGACAGGACTCACTGCGCTGGCTGGTGACACTATAATTCTGCGCCGTCTGCTCTGCGGCCTGGAGGTAGCCAAGCAACCACTCAAGAGGGAGCAGAAAACATCTGTGAAAGAGGGAAAGTGGGCGGGAATCCGGAAGGAACTGATAAGTTAAAGGAGAAAAACAGAAGTCATGAGATGGGTATTTAAGATCAAGTCTTTAGGGCCTAGGCGGTGTCAAACTGCCGGCCCTCCTCATGCGGAAGCCGCGCCCACCCTAACTCCGGCAATGCGAAAAATGTCGCGATACGTCGTGACACGTCACGTGACGCGGCGAGTTTGACACCCGTGGACTCTAGACAAAAAGTTTTGAGTATCGGTAGGGTGGGCTTAACTAGGATTACGGAATATTTCCTAAAATATGTCACTTTGAATTCAGCAAAGACTTATTTTTAAATAAATGCGTGCAGCCTAAGCAGAGGGTTGGACTAGAAGACCTCCAAGATCCCTTCCAACTCTGATTCTATTCTATTCCATTCCATTCTTATTATTAATTTAGTGTCCAAAGGATCTTATGTTTTTGAGTTCTGCCGTGAAAACAATGGATTCAGTTTACTTTACAGAGCTGTTGTGAAGATAATGCCAAGCTAGCTCATGAAAGGCTCTAAATGAGTTCCTCTGGGTAGGACATAATTGATTTTTAATATCAAGCATTTCTCTAGAAAACTTAGGGCAACATGTATGATCCACTATCACATAAGTTATTACAAAAATTCTGTGAACTAATTAGAATGTGATTAGCCCAAGGTGTTCTGGAGAAATTTATAGATGTGTAGGGATTTCAGGGCAGATGTAGTTTCAGCCAGTTCAACATGCCAGATATCTCAATGGGGAGTTTTAATAACATTTAATTGTGATCATTTTAATAATATGAATTATTACTATGATCATTTTAATGAGTGGCATGGTGGCCTAATGGTGAAGACACCTCCCTCTAGGAAGGTTGAGAATTCAATCTTAGATAGCAGCAGATGTTTCTCTCCTAGGGAACAAAGAAAAAATATCTGCTGTGAACACTGCATAAGCATCAGAAAAGGCATCCGGCCAGTAAATTCTCAGATTCATCCAGTCACCTCAACTCTATCCTAAGTAGACTACAGGATTTTTTTTTAAAGGGGGGGGGGAATGTGATCATTTTAATATTGACAGGAGACATTTGATATTCTGATTAAGTAACTCCTTTGCAGCTTAGATTGCAATGGCATCTAGAGCCTGATTGGTTTTACCCAAATTTTACCATTCAGTGACTCCCAATTCTTTAGTTTATAAAAGCATCTCATTATGAGGTGGCACAGAATGTGGTGATGCCAAGGATAGTGTGTCCCAGCTGGGACATTATGCACTGGTTACCTTGGGTGTCTGTATGGGTTCTCTGAGCTGAATGAATACAATGATTATACAAGTCTGGTGTGTAAAAGGGACTTCCAGTGACAAGTTGCAATAAACGGGACATAAATAAAAACACACTGAAAGGCAAGAAGATTGTATAATTATATGATAGCAGCACACAATATTTAGTAATTAAAACACTTGATATTCTTATGGAGCTTTTTGCTCTCTCAGAGTAGGTATGTATTAGCTTGTTCCATAATCACCATATTTAGTTCTGATAATTTCAACATTTATTAGATCTACAAGAGCAGTATGAGTTACCTCTAAGTCCAGTGTGTATAATTTATTATTTAAAAATAATTGATGCTTCTGAATCAATAACATAAAATGCAGTACCAGTTTATATTTCTTTACACTCTCATCTTACAGATAACTATTATTTGTCATTATCCTGCTATTATAAGGAAATGTACAGTATATTTTGCATTATATATTTAGTAATGGAAAATAAGCTCTCTGTTCCAGTTCCTCTGTGTTCATTTTTGCATTCAGAAGGAACTTGCTACATCATGGTATACTCTGATATGACTGGCTTTGGATTTAGTTCCTTTTAAAAATTCCTGACTGTCCTTCTCCCCTCCCAACTCACAGGACGTATCACCCCCCTCACTTTGGAGGAAACACTGGCGCCTGCCCACCAGATTGTCATGTGATTTTTTTTGCAGTTTCTTGTTCCAGGCTGAAGTTAACGTTGAACAGATGGGGCTGTGGCTATATATTCTCATGGTAGCCTTGGGGGGCTTACAATTTCAGGTAAGCAAAAACAATTAGAAAAGGATTTTATTGGGGAAAATGCTGAAATGATTTCTTTCAACTCTTTAAAGGAAATATAAGATATTTATCTATCTGCTTTGTAATCTTCCATGTATTCTCATAGTCCACTTTTTCTTTAGATCTTTTTGGCACTTCTCCGCCATTCTCTCCTAATATTCTGTTTATAATTAGTGAGTTGATTGCTATACCACTGAATTAAGCTCCTGTGTAATATAATTATCTTGGAGTTCTTATACATGGACCATAATCTGTTCTGCTCATTTAAAATACAGCAATCATGTGATTCAGGCCATAACAAATAACACTATGGAGTTAAAAAAATAGATTAAATCATGCACTCACAGCAAACTAATACTTTATTTTTCAAAACCTTATTTATTTATTTATTTTATTTATTTATGAGACTTATATACCGCTTTAAGTGCAAGCACTCTCTAAGCGGTGTACACCAGTAAGCAATGTATATATATATTTACATTGCCCCCAACAATCTGGGTCCTCATTTTACCTACCCCGGAAGGATGGAAGGCTGAGTCAACCTTGAGCCGGTGAGATTTGAACCGCTGACCTGCTGAACACAGTCAGCTAAAGTGGCCTGCAGTACTGCACCCTAACTGCTGGCTGTTAAAGAGTAACCATAGCACTGGAGATAAAGAGATGAGTGACTCACAAGATGATTAGAGGTCTGGAGGCTAAAACATATAAGGAACGGTTGCTGGAATTGGATATGTCTAGTTTAATGAAGAGAAGGGCTAGGGATGGCATGATAGCAGTGTTCCAATATCTCAGGGGCTGCCACAAAGAAGAGGGAGTCAAGCTATTCTCCAAAGTGCCTGAAGGCAGGACAAGAAGCAACTGATGGAAACTAATCAAGGAAAGAAGCAACCTAGAACTAAGGAGAAACTTCCTGACAGTTAGAACAATTAACCAGTGGAACCACCTGCCTCCAGAAGCGGTGAATGCTCCAACACTGGAAGTTTTTAAGAAGAAACTGGACAGCCATTTGTCCAAAATGGTATAGGGTTTTCTGCCTGAGCAGGGGGTTGGACTAGATGACCTCCAAGGTCCCTTCCAACTTTATTATTACTATGGATCATTGCACAGTCAGCCAGATGTTCAGACTGGATTTGGCATTTTGTCTACCTATCGAGTCCTTACCAAGGACCTGGGATAGGCAGATGTGGATGTTTGATGGTATTACAGATATCGTTGCAGGATGGAAGCAGTTCCTAGTAAGGCCGCTTTTTGCAATTGACTAATGGCAAATTTGTCAATGCTAATGGTGTTCAAGTGGTGCTCCAGTTGTTCTGGGATTGCATCCAAGGCACCTATTACTATTGGTACTACCCTTGCTTGCTTTTGCCACAGTCTTTCTATTTCTATTTGTAGGTCTTTGTATTTTGTTATCTTCTCCAGTTCTTTCTCTTCTATTCTGCTGTCTCCAGGCACTGCCACGTCCACTATCCAGACTTTTTTGTCTTTCTTATCGACAATTGTTAAGTCTGGGGTGTTATGTTGCAGGTGCTTGTTTGTTTGAATTCTGAAGTCCCAGAGCAGTTTAATTTTATCATTTTTATGACTTTCTCTATTTTATGATCCCACCAGTTTTTGCTTACAGGCAAATGATATTTTTTGCAGATCTTCCAATGCACCATTGTTGCTACTTTGTCATGCCGCTGCTTGTAGTAAGTCTGTGCAATCTTCTTGCAACAGCTTACCAGGTGGTCCACTGTTTCTTCAGCTTCTTTGCATAGGCGGCACTTACTGTCTGTTGCTGTCTTCTCAATTTTGACTTTATCTGCATTTGTCCTTAAGGCTTGGTCTTGTGCAGCCAGAATTAGTCCCTCGGTCTCTTTCTTCAATTTTCCTGCTCTTAGCCATTGCCAGGTCTTGTTATTATCTGCTTTCCCAGCTATTTTTTTAATGTACTGGCCATGTAGTGCTTTGTCTTCCCATGCCTCTATTCTGTTCTTCATTTGGTCTTTCTTGTAGACCAGTTTGGTCTCTCCAGTAGTCAGTAAGCCTTCCTGATATACTAATTTTAGTGCATCTTCATCATTGTTCTTCAGATATTCTTCCATATCCATTTTTTGTTCTTCAACCATCTGATGTACTTGCAGCATTCCACGCCCACCTATTTGCCTCGGTAGATAAAGTCTGTCAGTGTCACTGCGTGGATGAAGGGCATGATTCATTGTCATTATTTTTCTGGTCTTCCTATCCATTGCTTTTAGTTCTGCTTGAGTCCAGTCCACGATTCCAGCTGTGTATCTAATGACTGGAATTGCCCAGGTGTTGATTGCCTTTATGGTATTTCCTCCATTGAGTTTGGACTTTGGATCTTAATCTTCTTCACTCTCTTAATGTATTCACCTCTAATGTATTCACCTCTTTTTCTTGACTTCAGTGTGCTTGATGTTGTCAGCTTGAAGGATACCCAAGTATTTGTAGTAATCTTCCTCATCCAGACTCTTAATGTTATTTTCATGGGGCATTTTGATTCCTTCAGTTTTCACTATTTTTCCTTGTTTGATAGTAAGCATGGCACATTTGTCCAAGCCAAACTCCATTGCAATATCTTGGCTATATATATGGACAGTGTTGAGCAGCGATTCTATTTCAGATGATGTTTTTCCAAATAGCTTCAGATCATCCATGTAAAGGAGGTGGGATAGTCTTGCAGATATTTTTGATGTTTGATAGCCATGTTCTGAGTTATTCAGTATTGTTGACAGAGGAAACAGTGCAATAACAAATAGTAATGATGACAATGAATCTCCTTGAAATATTCCTCTCTTGATATTAACCTCTCCCAGTCTCTCACCATTGATCTGCAACTGTGTCTTCCATTGTGCCATCGATCTTTGCACACATTTTCTGATATTTCTACTGACTCCTGTTATTTCTAGACACTTGATTATCCATTCATGTGGCAGAGAGTCAAATGCCTTTTTGTAGTCAATCCATGACACATTCAGGTTGGTCTTCCTTTTCTTGC